GTCCTGCTTAGCAGCTGACTGGTCCCAGGGCCCGCAGTCCAGCCCTTCATGGTCTGAGGGACAGTGAACTGGCCCCCTGTTTAAAAAGTTTGAGGATCTCTGATTCTAGATTGATGGCAGAAGAAAAACTAGAAGTATTTCAGTAGTGAGAGAATAACCAGGAGGTTGAAATGTCATAGAAAACAAAAAGTTTCAAGAAAGACATGGCCTATACTGAAGACTGCCCAATAAGGGAGGACGGGTACTGGGAAATGGCTATTCATTGTGACCTGGAGATCTGCTATCCTACTGCCCACACATCCCAGGTGGCTTCAAGCACCAGGCAGGAGTGCAATGGGAGTTGTGGAAAATTCAGGAGTTAGCAGACTGATACCAGTAGAGCTTTGTTAGAGGCTGGGAAGTGGGAGAAATTGAGCGGACACCCTTTAAGAACAGTGGTTCTCAACCTTTCTAATGCCTCCTGATGCTGCGACCCTTTAATACAGTTCCTCATGGCAGGCATCCTCAAACTACAGCCTACGGGCCACATGCGGCCCACCTAGGACATTTATCTGGCCTGCCGGGTGTTTTTGCCACAGCTATCTGTCCTGTTTAGCCGCCAATTCGTCCCGGGAACTGCAGTCTGGCCCTCCAACAGTCTGAGGGACAGTGAACTGGTTCCCTGTTTAAAAAGTTTGAGGACCCCTGCTCATGGTGTGGTGACACCAACCATAAAATTATTTTTGTTGCTATTTCATAACTATAATTTTGCTACTGTTATAAATCGTAATGTAAATATCTGATATGCAGGATGTATTTTCATTGTTACAAAGCGGTGGCTACCCACAGGTTGAGAACCGCTGCTTTAAGAGGATATTGCAGTAGCACAGACCAAGTGAGTTCTAGAACCTAACTCAAAGGTTGGTGGTTTCAATGTTCAACTTGTAGAGCAGGATGATGACAGGTCATGGGGTTCGAGGAGCTTCTGGTATGACCATTGCTCTTTGCATGTCACCAGCAGCAGGTATTTCTCAACTTGGCGTCTCTCGGCCTCTGCAGCTAATATTTGTCTCCCATTGATCCAGTATCCAGCCTGTTACTCTTTAACTGGAGTCCAGGGTTCAAAGGCCTGACTGTTGTTTAAACACTTATTACGTTGGGCATGTCCCCCAGATAATCTCAACTGATGAACAAGCAAGGATCGTCTAAGTAAATATAGACTACGGAGAAGGCAAGAGGACCCAGGAGTGGAGGTGAAGTCAGGCTGGGAAGGGTAGAGGGTAGGGAGAAGGCCCCAGTGAGGGAGCGCATTTATAGGAATCTAGACATTGTCGCCTACGAGACTTGGGCTGTATGGCACAGCCTGTGGCTCCTGGGCTACACACCTGCACAGCACATTGCTGTATGAATCCTGTAGGATATTATGACACAATGAGTATCTGTGTGTCTAAATGTATTTAAGCATAGAAAAGGTAACATGTTGTATTACAACACGGCTACAGTGTCATTATGCAATAGGACTATCTTATTCATGAGGCCACTGTCATATATGCAGTCTGTCATTGACTAAAATGTCATTATGCAGTATAGGACTGCATGTTACAAGTTGACATCTATTTTATTTTATTTTTTTAATGAAATAGATAAAAAAAAATCCAACATCTTGGAGCTCCATCAAAGTTCCTGGGAGTAGAAAATCTAGTCCTTAGCCTCTGGTCCCTTTAGCCTTTCAACTCTGTTGCACAAAGGGAAGGTACGTTGTCCTGGGAAAGTATCTGGAAAATCCCAGACACTTTCTGTGGGGGAAGGCCAGAGAGCTGGGAGGGTTCTTGATTCTGCGGAAGCCAGAAAGATAGCATAGCCTCCTCTGAGTGGTGAGGCTGGGGCTGGCCCTGAGAACAGGCCATCCGGTCACGCCACGTAGGTGTCCCACATTCACAGTGGATTTCATAAACTGAAGCAGGCCCCTTTTACCCTCAAAAACTTCCCCTACTCATTTTGCTGATATGTAGATGCTGTAATTTGACCTTTAGTCCTTTTGACTTAAGTGAAGCATCACTTTAAGGATCTATTAAAATAAAAATACATCAAAAAATAAATAAAAAATAAAAATACATCTAGAAAGGGTCATGTGGTTAGCCTATCAGCATTTACATGTTAGTATAAATTAGTTTATTGGCTCATCTCTCAGAGAGGAAGTTTGATTGTGGGGATGGGTGGGATGGTGGATGGGCAGTAGAGTTAGTGATTGATGCTACCTTTGGGCTCAGAGCACCCTCAGCTTGCCTCTTCAGAAGTCTTTTTTCCTTGTATGTAAATTGGGGCTCATTGGGGGATGTGGAAATTTCCATTAAGTGGTAGGAAATTTACCCTGCAAGGGGATGTTAAAGGCTGAAAAGAAACTCTTCACAGTAGAGTTTGGCTTGTTCCCAAACTCCTTGCCTTTTTCTCTGGGTGCCACTAGGTACCTCCCAGCTTCCCTTGCAGTTAGGTATGTCCAAGTTACTAATGTCTGGTCAGGGGAAGGCAGGCAGAGGGCATTTGCCCACCAGGATTTGCTCTCCCTTCCCTCCTCTGCCTGTGGGGTGCAGAGGACCCTGTCCCAGGGAAGGGTGCTGGAGCCAAGTGCTCTCCTTCTAACCTGCATGGGACTGTGAGAAACACCTCTACGAAGCCGCTGCGATTTGGGGATTAATAGCGCTGCTCTGCCCTAATAAACTCTTGCCTTCCTCCTCAGGATGCAGGCACAGGGAGAGGCAGGAGCCTGGAGTAGATGGTTGGGGCCAGAGAACTGAAAAACCACCCAGACCATGGTTTCTGCAGGGGGCAGGTACTGATAATCACCCCTCAGAAAACTACCTGGATAATCAACATGATCAGTGTATATAACTGATCACGGAAATATCAACATCCTGGCTGGGGGGCGGGGGAGGGGGTTGTATAGTCTGGAATTCCAGGGCACATGAAATGGGGACACTATTTGGATATTGAACTATTTGACATCTCCTTTCATGATGTCCTGTGGCTTCCCATCAATTGACTTAGTGAGTTTTACTGCTTCAAGGAAAGGCAGATGCAAGAATAAAGGTAGAATAAAAACACATTGTAATAAATTGTATGGTTCCGTTTTTATGAAATTCTAGAACGGGGAAACTAACATATGGTGGAAACAACTCAGGACAGCAGGTGCTCTGGGAGTATGGGGGTGGCAACCGACTTGGAGGAGACATAGAAGAAATTTCTGGGGTGACAACATGGTACACAGGTGTCAGCATTTGTCAAACTGTGAATATATGGTTTGGATTTTTCTATTTCATCGTACATGAATTTTAGCTTCCCCAAATAAAATCTAGTTAATGGTAAGCATCCTGAGGCATTTGGGATGTCCATGATGCCTGCAATCGACTTTATGCTTCATAATTACGAGGGGACAGACAGACATGGGAAAGCAAGCAGAGTACAGCGGGATCTCTAGAGTGGCCTCTCACCCTCTCTGGCTCAGGGATGGGTAATCCCTTTGCTGACCAGCCACTGGATGGAGTGGACTGGGTGAGTCAGGGCATACCAGCCTGA